AACAAGGACTTAAAGCCCAGATTTTTATAGACAAGACTCATGTTTAGTCAAGTTTGATAAACCTATTTTCTTAGGCAGTATGAAGTTTTATAAAGCTTACCAGTATATTGAATGATCCCACTGGTATTTTGAAACTCATGTGTTTATAAAATGGACATAAAGATTTTCCTGAAGTTTTAATACGTGGCTATTTCTGAGGAGTAGACATGGTGTGTCATTCAGGTAAGAAAGAATATTTCTGTATTTTCTGTTAAAGCTTATGTATTGTTTTGAATTTTTATTTGTAATGAGGATGTTTTACTTTTATATAAAAATATACTTTTGTATAAAAATAAGTTAATAGAGTTGATGCAAATATGAGTTGTTTAAGCTTAAGAATTTGTTTGGGGAGAGGCTTCTGGCTGGAGGGGAAAGGACAGATCTATGAGGCTGCACAAATAGTGGTTTTCTACAACTCTCTTCAGTTTCAAGAGAAGTGACTGAACTGGGCAAGGGGTTGTGGATTGACCTGAAGCCAGGGATCTGAGGCTTGCAGGGGCTGAAGTGTGTCAGGAAGCATACTGGCAGGGTAGGTGGTTTTATGCAGTCATTAGCTTTAAAAAAACTTTAGATTCCAAGGTGTTTATGATTAAATTACTTCTGTCAGTTCAGGTTGCTCAATGTGTAGGTGGCCTGCTTTGGTTTTATGTTATGGCAAAGAGTGACTGAGATCAGGAAGGTATGAAGGTCAGAGGAGCTTTGGATCACATTACAGCTTCAGTTCAGCTCAGTCATGTCCAACTCTTTGTGACCCCATGGACCACAGCATGTCAGGCTTCCCTACCATCCATCACCAACTCTCATACTAACTAACTCAACTCACCAACTAACTCAAACTCATATCCATTGAGTCGGTGATGCCATCCAACCATCTCACCCTCTGTCGTCCCCTTCTCCTCCAGTGTTCAATCTTTCCCAGCATCAGGATCTTTTCAAATGAGTCAGTTCTTTGCATCAGGGGGCCAAAGTATTGGAGTTTCAGCTTCAGTATCAGTCCTTCTAACGAATATTCAGGACTGATTTCCTTTAGGATGGACTGGTTGGATATCCTTGCAATCCCAGGGACTCTCAAGAGTCTTCTCTAACACAGCAGTTCAAAAGCATCAATTCTTTGGTGCTCAACTTTCTTTATAGTCCAACTCTCACATCCACACATGACTACTGGAAAAACCATAGCTTTGACTGTTTAGACCTTTATTGGCAAAGTAATGTCTCTGCTTTTTAATATGCTGTCTAGGTTGGTCATAGTTTTTCTTCCAAGGAGTAAGCATCTTTAAATTTTGGGGCTGCAGTCACCATCTGCAGTGATTTTGGAGCCCCCCAAAATAAAGTCTCTCACTGTTTCCCCATCTATTTGCCATGAAGTGATGGGACCAGATGCCATGATCTTAGTTTTCTGAATGTTGAGTTTTAAGCCAACTTTTTCACTCTCCTCTTTCACTTTCATCAAGAGGCTCTTTAGTTCTTTGCTTTCTGCCATAAGGGTGGTGTCATCTGCATATCTGAGGTTGTTGATATTTTTCCTGGCAATCTTGATTCCAGCTTGTGCTTCATCCAGCCCAGCATTTCGCATGATGTACTCTGCATATAAGTTAAATAAGCAGGGTGACAGTATATAGCCTTGATGTACTCCTTTCCCGATTTGGAACCATTACAACTTGGCACCAATCAAAAGTGAAAAGTGAAAATGTTAGTTGCTCAGTCATGTCTGGCTCTTTGTTTCCTTATGGACTGTAGCCCGCCAGGCTCCTCTGTCCATGGAATTCTCCAGGCAAGGATACTGGACTAGGTAACCATTTCCTTCTCCACAGGATCTTCCCAATCCAGGAATCTAACCCAGTCTCCTGCATTGCAGGAAGATAATTCAACATCTGAGCCACCAGGGAAGCCCATAGTTATAGCAAAGGCCATTAATGGATTCATGCTTAGTCTCTCAGTCGTGTCCGACTCTTTGCAACTCATGGACTGTAGCCTGCCACGCTCCTCTGTCCATGCGATTCTTCAGGCAAGAATACTAGAGTCGGTTGCCATTCCCTTCTCCAGGGGATCTTCTGGACCTAAGAACTGAACCTGGATCTCCCTCATTGCAGGTGGATTCTTTACCACCAATCAAAGCTATTATTTAAATAGTTCAATGAATAAACAATGTTTAGCTTTTTTCCTAATGATTTGGAAAGCAACACTGAACATGTGAAAACAAAGGATACTGGCAAGAGATGGTCAAATGATTATTTCGAAGGCTAAGGCAGGTTCACCATTATCATATAAGGGGTATAATTTCATGCTCCCAAATCTGAAAAAAATTGGCATAGGATAATATTTCTTTATTCAGTCTTGCTTGGTAAAAATCAAAAGAATTTCATTTAGAATGTTAATATAGTGGTATTTTCTGTATATTTAAGTAGGTCACACATATGTATTGAAATATCATTTTCTGTTTTAATACATACATTACAATTAAAAGATTCATGGCTCAGAAATATAACTCTTAACACTTCAAAATTCCACTATTCCCATTCCCAAATTAACTTCTCTAAGCTACTCCATACAGATATGCATACACTCATGTAGTGGTTTTATTGCATCATATTCTATATACCCTGCACTTGCCTTTTTCATTTAATGATGTGGCTTAGAGCTTATTCTCAGTCATTGCTTATAATTCACCTTGTGCTTTTTCATGGTTGAAGTATTTTACAATTTGAATGCATCAATATTTTATTGTACTTAAATTTGAGAACAAATAATTAAACTTTCTTTTAGCCAGATTTACACCTGAAGAAGGGACTTTAGAGAGAATGATAGGTATTCTAGAAATTCCACATCCTATGTACTGGTATTAGGAGCATGGGATGAAATGAGGAAAGGGACCTACAGGTAACAGTAATGATCAGGAAAGGATCTTGTAAAACTATTTCCAAATGCATATTGTTATAACTTTTTGGCCAAAAGTCTTGTTGGTTCAGACCATGTTAAAATCAGATCTTTTAGATAACAGCTGATTTATAAAGTGTATAGTCTTCTCTCTTTTTTAAAATATAATGCATTGTTCTCTTCACCCCTTAGTTCTGATTTATACTTTGGAATGTTTATCATTACTTCTTGGAAAATAATACTGCTAACAAGAAGGGCAGCTTGCTTTAAAAAAAAAATGTAGCAAGAAAGCCAACAATTTGTGGACAGGATGGTCATGTATTTTGACCATGGTTAAGAAGCTACTGACCAGCAATAGATCACTGTTCTATTAAAATATAGGTTACAGCATTTAAGACTACAAATTTAACATTTTATAAGGTGATAAACTGTTCTTCTATGCCCACCATTCTCCCCTAAAAGAGCAATAGATAATTTGACTATGGACTTTCGCCCACACATAGTTGGTTTTCCAATTGTAAATTGGGTAACATTTTAGAAGTTGAATTAGCTGCTTCAGGGTGGTCATTTAATATATAAAGTCCTGTTTAGACTCAAAATTAAAAGGTGACGAGTTGCCATTGTCTTTTTATAAGTCTAGAAACTGTCATTATTTATATTGTAATTGTTTTAACAGAAACTTTTTTAGTGTTTATAGTCCACATTCTGGCTTTGCCTGCTTAATTTTTAAAATTTTGAGATTCAATGATTTCATGTTTTGGTTACATTTTTTATTCAGTTATATCTTTGGTTGCAGAAACTAGATTTGAAAGCTTATCTGAATCATTAAATCACCAAATACAGTTACTCAGAGGCTTGTTAAATGAGTAAAAGTGTTGCCAGGGAGTTTTCATAGAGCTTTATGTGCTGTTAATTGCCTGCAATTAAATCTGTTACAAGTAATAATGTACTGTAATCTGTTGAAAACCTCACCTTTCAATTAACCAATTCTCCAACCTTTCCTTCCTTCTCCTTGAAGAGTAGTTTAGGGTCTATTTATTTTCACCTGTACATGCCAATTACCTCTGGCCCAGATGTTACTGGCATACCAGGGAATCTGATCTTAAGTACAAGTCTAAATTATTGCTTCTCTTTATACCTTGTTGTAATGTGAATGGTTTGATGGAAAAATACATGTTTCTAATCCACTGGTGCAGACTACCTATTATGAGCTAGTCAATTTACATGTGTTATTTCAAGTCCTCACAATAGCCTTACAAAGTTAGTGACACCCCTGTTTTATACAGAAGGAAATAGAGACTCAGAGATGTATAAATAGCTGTTCACAATCAAGAACTGGGAAGGTCAGAGCTGGGAGCCAAGGTCAAAACCATACCTGGCAGACCCGAAAGCACTTCTCTTTCGTCAACTGTTTCCAACGAAATGCAGTTGATGTGTTATAGAGAATAGATGAGAAGGCAGTCTGTGTAGGGGCTCTCAGCACCAACTCAGCCGCTACCAACTTCTTGACTTAGTCTCAGGTTTCTTATTTGCAAAAGAGGGGTACTACCGCTCACCCTGATGGATCGTCATGAAGTGGGAATGTATGGCGCATTGTGGGTCTTCCAAAAAGTGACCTGAAGTCCCCCTCCTGGTTGACAGGATGAAAGCAAATGCATTACAGAATTTTAATTTACTGTCTTGGAACAGAAGAGACTGATTAGATTGTTGCCATTGCATTTTTCATAGTACATCTTTGGAAAAGGAGAACCGACTACAATCCCAGCAGCAGTGCCATTTGTAGTGGGGGTGTTTTTCTTTTTAACCTTCATTTTAATCCCATTTAGAGTTACAAAAATTTCTGAAGGTTCTCATGCTGCCTGGGGCCCTGAGCTGCAATTTTGTCTCAGCCTATTGATGTGGTGAGCTGTTGGAAGAGGTAGGAGTGATGCAGAAGGAGATGGCATCAGGAAACTAATGAGCTAAACACATATTTCTCTGACCACTAGAATTCCAATTGAGCTAACTGGTGCGTTTATGAAAGTCTTACTTGCAAAACCAGTAAATTGTTTGACTGAAACTTTCTTTCTCTTTAAAATTGTTTTTAGGATGCAGAATAGAAAACTGTGATTCTTGCTTTAGCAAAGACTTTTGTACCAAGTGCAAAGTAGGCTTTTATTTGCATAGAGGCCGTTGCTTTGAGGAATGTCCAGATGGTTTTGCACCATTAGATGAAACCATGGAATGTGTGGGTAAGTAGTGTTTCATGTAATTTTCAAATTTCCACTTTTATTTTAACACCTGTTTATTGGGGAGGGGGGGGGATGAATGCTGAATGTATTCATTCTAAAAATGAATTGGTTCTCTTGTTATTAATTAGAACTGAGAATTATTGAAGTTCTTTGCTATTGAGTTCTTTAGTCATTCTGCCATTGGGCAGTATCATAAATTACATTTTGCTACAAAATTTGCTGGTAGAACATTAGGTTAAACTACTTAAATGCTGAGAATAATGTTTTTATGATTTATGTAATGTATCCCCATTTCTTAATTATCTTATTAGTAACTGTTAGAGAAAAACATTTTGTTTAGAAGAAACTGTTTAAGCAGTGTCATGTGGTTAGTTAGTCTATCATTTTCATTATGTGTATTAATTTTACAGCTTCTTGCTTAGCCACACATTTGTATAAAAAGAATCTATTAAGAAGAGATTTTTTTTGTGACACATATACTTTGTTGATGATTGACTGCATGTTGCAAAGTGCATTAAAACAATTTTACTAAATTAGGCATGTAGAATGCATAATTTAATCTGCACATATATGCTGTTTGTAAATAATAATTAGGAATCCATATTTTTATAAATTTTGGGTTTTTTGGTGTGTTTAAAAAACCTTGTGGCATTTTTTTTATGCCACTGATTAAAATGTAAAGGTCTATCAGTACCTACATTTTGATAAATGCCTGAATCTAATCAAGTGTAATGACATCTTCACCACCTCCACCCCCAACATGCCTGTATTGTATTTGCCATGTTTTATATTTGATATGGTGCACAACAGAGCAATGTATTAGGAATAAGACTTTCCATCTTTTTAAAATGAAGACTTAAGTTGAGAACTTTTTTCCTGCATAAATACCAAAGTAGTCTGTAACTATATTTGAAAGCTTGCAGAGAACACATTTAAATGAAAGATTTTTGAAGAAATTGTGTGCTTATGTTCCTGTATATGTGTGAATTAATACATGCATATAAGCAACACCCTATTGAAAAATATAGAAAGTCACCAAAGGAGCATATTCAAAATATTGGGTTTGCTTTTGAGAGGTGAGACCCATACCAGTTACAGAAGTCCAGAGGAAATTCTTATGAAACCTTTAAGCATTAACAAATTAACAGTAGTCCTAACAAATTAACAGTAGTCCTATGCATTCCCCTGGATAAAAATCTTAAATAGCTTTGAAAAACCTAAGAGTCACCATGCTGCCTTATGAAATCTGGAATGAAGAAATATTCATTGTGTGTGGATTCTCTGCCTGGGTCCTCTTCTGCTATTACACTAGGGGCTTTTAATGGTGAATTTGATGAGGTTTAACTGTATATTTTTATTCTTTTATCCCAGGGGAGTTGCAGAGTAGCCTACTTTTTCATTATATGAAGTTAAAAAAGGAGGATGCTAAAAGTTTTTACATACCTGGGAAAACATACGTTTTCAAATATCTGATCATATTTGTTTACTTTTCAAACTATAGCATCAATTTAGGGAATAAGAAATACATACTGTGGTTTCCAGATACCTATTAAAGGAAATGAGATAATCAGAAAATGCAAAATACACTCCCTATCTTTTCATGAAGTATTAATATTTACTTCCAACTAAAACTAACACACTTGTGAATTTCAGTGGGGGCATGCAGAATTTACTTGTAAAATTTTGTTTCCTCTTCATGGTATGAAAACAGTATATTTTACTGTAGGTTTTAGCTGTTGAATCTTTTAAAGATAATATATTCAATGTCTTTAGAATGGACTAGTTAACATCCCATCAAAAAATGAACCAGTACAAAAAGAAAGTAATAGTTTTTAAATTACTTATGTGGCAGCTTTTTACTTTTATCTGTAACTCCGTAATGCAAAATTTTCCCAAAAGGTGTATTCCGGTCTTGGGCTGTACAGCTTAATTTTTGGTATCTGAAAGTGAGGGAGTAGAGAGATACTGCTATATAAATTTTGTAACAATGGAGAAATGTATACCAAATTGTTATCTGTGTTTGTTTTTTCTCTATTAGAAGGATGTGAGGTTGGCCACTGGAGTGAATGGGGAATTTGTAGCAGAAATAATCGCACATGTGGATTTAAGTGGGGTCTGGAAACCAGAACACGGCAAATTGTTAAAAAGCCAGCAAAAGACACGATACCATGTCCAACCATTGCTGAATCCAGGAGATGTAAGATGGCCATGAGGCATTGTCCAGGAGGTGAGTTCAGATAATCCCTATTGTGGACTATGTGCTTTCTGGGTTTTCTTCCTTCCTAATCACCCTTGCTCCCAATAAAGAGTATTTATCCTTGAAGGAAATCTGATAATAACATTGGCAAGAGGGTAAAATTCCACATTGAACTTCCTTAGAGACAAATGCTTAAATTGTGAAGAATATAAAATGACTGTTTAATTTCATGATACCTTGAAAGTAATTTAGAAGACAACTTTACAAATCAACTTTTAAAACAAGATTTCTAAAAGTGTGTGTGTGTCAGTGTTTTTCTTTTTCTTTTTTTCACTAATGTGCCATAAAAGCCAGTTCTTATGAAATCAGGCCTTTGCAGATGTTGCTCTAAGAGAAGCAGCCAACTTTCAGTTGAGAAGAGTTTAGATTAGAAAGGTTTATGGAATCCGTAAAATCATCTGTATCACAACTAGTTGAAGATGACAACTTAAAATAAACTTGCCCAAACACTGGGAGGAATAAACATTGTCTTAATGTTGCCACAGTTAGCCGGTTCTCTGTTTTGATAATAATTTGTGGAAAACAGCTACTAGTATGTGTATGTTTATTTGTGTCTTTGTAGTAATTGTGCTGATTTGCAGTAATTATTCTGTAATAACAGGATTAGGCCCACTTACCAATTGGGAGAAGTGTACTAGCTCAGGTGCTGGCTGGAGCCGAGTTAGTATGTTGAAATGTAGTTCTTAGCGCTGATGCTGTGCTTCTGAAAGCATAATCTTTTGTTACTGTTTATTTTATCACTAGTGGATGCTGCACTGCCAAAAATGAAGTTAGGACTTTTCTAGTGCACAAAATAGAAGAGCAAAAAAAGAAAGTTGCATGTAGAAAACTGCCCTATGAAACAATCAAAACTTTCATTTGCCTTCATTTCTTCTTGTTGGGGCATAGCTTTCAGCTTTGTGGCTGTAGCCCAGAGAAGAATATATATCTGCCTAGAATGGATTTATATCCCTATTCTGCTGCCTCATAGAGAATGTCTGTGATCCATGGAGGAAGACAAAACTTTTAAGACTTGAAGACTCCAGTCGGCCTTTTGAGAACTATTAGATCCAGATTCAGAAGCTACTATTAGGAAGGCAGCTTTTCCTCTTGAATTAGTTTTGCTTTTCTATGCCGAGCCTTTGAAACAAAGTTTTTTTGGGTCTGCTTTGCACTAACAAGGATGGTTTTGTTCAGTTAAACTGGGTATTTTTCAGTCAAAATATAAGAAAATATTTTCTTACAAAACTAATAAGCCACTTCTTGGATAGCTGAGAGCATTTAACCTGCAACCTTGTGCCTAAAAACAAACCCGATGTATTCAGGTATTGGGAATAAAGGCTTTCTTTGTTGTATATTGTTTATTTAACTACCCCCCACTCCTCTTCCAGCAACGTGGTCCCCAATTGTGGTTTACATTAATAGCAAAAATTAACCTGAAAATGCTCCTATAACAAACATGCTTATGTGTAACAAGAACCAGCATGCCCCCCTCCCCTCAGAAACTATTTTGACTTAGCCCTGGTCTTGTTGAGAATTTTGTAGATAACAGCTAGATTTTTAACCTATAATGCTTATTGCATTTTTTTAATGCTTCCAAAAGCAGTATACTGTCTTAAGAGATATAACCTGACACTGTCAGCAATTAAAATCATGTCAAAACAAAAGTTTATGTATCATCTGTCAGTGTTTTCTTTGACAAGTGAACCAGTAATGAACTCTTATTTAATTTACATTTAGGTTTTGCCAAATATTATTTATTAGGATAGACATTTGCAGAGACAAGCTATTGCTCTAATCCATGTATTGACATATTCAGCTTAATAAATTCAATTTTTAAGTAACCTTTAAAGTTAGTAGGTTTAAAAAGTTATACTGGAATTTGTTTTCTGTTTTATAAAAAAGAAACTAACATAAAATTGATAGAAATGGAAAATGACTCTGCAATAAAATAACTTCTATTTACAAATGTAGGAAATGAAAACTAGAAAATTAATTTTGGAACTTGAGCACCAATTGATAAAAATTGGCATAACTTCCAGTGGAGTACCCCACCTTGCCTCAGGTGAGAGAGGAAAAGGTTCCTTTCTTCTGTAGGTCACAGTGATTAATGGAAGAATGGAGAAGAAAACCACTTTATCCCATTTTACATCTTGACTTGATTTCAGTGATCTGCTTTGACAAACCGTGCAAAAATGTAAGTCGTAATCAGGTTGGGAATACAGGCATTTTTCAGATCTTTTCAACATATGTATGGATTTTCCTCTTGTTGGAGGCAATCTTAACCTGATTGCACACAAACGCAGTCTTAACCTCCTTCACACTAGAGCACAGGCACATTAAAATCAGCTGCTTTTCATTACTGGAAGGCATAAGTTAGAGGTCAGCAAAATGGAGTAGTCCTAAGTAAATATATAAGATATTACACTAAAAACTATTAAAAATGAACCAATAAATGGCTGTAGGATTTAAAAACAACAATGTAATGCTTTAGCCTATTTTTCCTTAACTATCAATGCTTATTTGCTTTAAAACAATGAAAGGATATTTGAAAATAAGATAATCATGGACTGATAGATGACATGAAGTAAGCATCCATTTCCAAACTTTTCTTGATCAGTTATCTTCTCTTTCATTTCTGATTATGTAATCTGTAGAGTTCCTGGGGCTTTTCTGACACTCATTCCTCAGGATTCCGGTCTGGTGATCAGACGACCTGGGTCTCTGCACCCTGTCACCTCATTAATTCTATGATACTTGGCAAGTCACTTAACCTCTCCTGGCCTCTATTTCCTATTTTAAATTGAGGGTATTGGGGTAGGCAATCTTGAAGATCCAGTCCAGTTCTAAAATCCAGTGATTCTAAGACTAATTGCCAAAAATGACATGGATATATTTTGTGGTTGTCATGTGAAGGGTGAGGAAGAGAATTGTAAGCCCAGGAACATTGTTTTATGACCAAGAACTGAACACTTTTCCAGTAGCTACAACTGTGCATTTGTGCAGCCTTTTCCATCTGGCAGTTTACACTCTTCCTCTCTCCTCCTTCCTTTTCAAACACTCTCAAAGACTGAACAAGATTCTTGTAAAATCTTCAAATGACTTATAGTTTAGTTAGTGGGAGATATGGAGAAAGACAGCAGGAGGATGGAGAAGGAAAGAGGAGGGGATCATAAAAAGATGGTGGGAAAAAGGGGAAGGGTAACAATGAGTTAGGGGGAAGAAATTGAACAATGAGTGTAGGAAGCAAGGGATAAAAGAACAGATTACTAAAAATGAAGACTTGGCTCCCAGCAGATGTAACTGTCTTCACTTCTCTCCCTCCCACCCTGAGCTCACTAATAGAATTCATTATGATGGGACCAAGTTATCCTATTCATATATGCAGCTTTAAATGGAGGAAACTTAGTCTGCACTATATTGTACCTTAGGCAATATATTAATAGAAAAATATGAATGTGCTATTATCATATTTAAGTGACAAATGGAAGAACAAAATTATGGCTACTCAGGTACAAAGTTGGGAGACATTCATGTATGGTGGGGGGAAATGTCATTTGGAGGGGACAATAGTCTTTCACAGGATTGACCAATGCCACTTCAACCTGAAATAGTCTGTCCTATCTGTAAAGTCCCATGACAACTAATTTTAACCTATTCATCAGGTGTTTATTGAGCAGTGCTGTGTACCAGTCATTGGTACACAGTTCTAACAGTGTTTTTTCTGGTGGGTATCATGACATTAGAGAAGTGGATGAGTGCCTTACTTCATGTGGAGAGATGGGAGCCGTGTGAAGGAAAGGAAAGCAGGATAAGGAGTGAGTGAAAGATTGGATTGGGGTGTATTATGTCGGGTGTTCAGGGAAATTGAGGGAGTAACATTTGATCACAAATCTGAATGAAGGAGATCTTGTGAAGACCTAAGGGAAATTTTCTTCTTCTTCTTTTTTTTTAGCTCTTGACTCAATGGCTATGTTTTTTGAGCATCGTTGATTCTCCCATTACCTATTAGAGAAGAGGAAGGAACTGGGATCTAGGATTCTTTTACTGGGCCACAGAGATGTAGCAAGTTGTTAATGGTAAAGCCAAGAGTGGGAAGCTCATGTCTACCTGCACCTTTCCCTTGTTCCTTATTATGAAGTGCAAAGATAATCCCATAGTTGTCTAACATCAAAGTAACTGACTTTAAACTATTTCTCCCTCCACCTCAATGCATCATTTTCTTTTTGTTTTACTAAGTTTTTCTTAAAAACATGACACTCTGCCATCACTATCACCTCCCAACGTCTTCCCACTTGAGATAGCTAGTGAAACATACCCCAAAGGTCATTTTATAAATGCAAAGTGTTGAGTCACTGGCTTTGTTTCAATTCCGCCATTCCTACTTACAGCCATTCCTGCCTTATAGGAGAAGGTCATCTTCTTCCATAATTTTAGTATCATTGGCCCTCAGTTTGTTGGGGGCGGGGGGAGTGTGAGTGCATGATTGTTCTTTCATCCTTAGTCTTTCAAGGCCGCCCTTCCATTGAGGCTGTCCCCACGGAACCACACGGAGCACTCTTCTCTGCCCCTTTGCTCCCTGGCCTGCCCAGGAGCCCTGGGATCTGAACCCAGCCCCACTTCTAGTAGCTTGGTGCCTAGAATGGCTTCTCTCTTTCTGACACATCTAAGCAATCAGATGGTTAAAGTAATTTAGGTAATGCTTGGACAGATGTACTTCTGTCTTTTTTGCTCATGGCTGCCTCAGTGTACCATACTGCAGCTGTTAGTAACAATATGGTGCAATTCTTTAAGCCTTAGGTCGTATTTTCTCAGGACTGTGCTAAAATTTAAGTATAAAAACTGCTACTACTTAGGATTTTTAACTTGAAAATAACTCACTCCTCCTCTTATGTGACATTATTTGACCAGCATCTACTTTGTGTTTTTAAGTGGCTTTTAACTTTGTTGTTCTTTAGTCACTAAGTGGTGTCTGACTCTTTTGCAACCCC